CCCCGCCTTTCCTGGCCGGGCTGAGGAGGCCCCGTGTCAATCCCGTCAATCCGTTACCGGAGACGGCGTGTCGAGTTTCTGAGGTGGAGAGGATGACGGGGTGGGTGAGGGTGGGGGTGGGGTTGTGCAGTGAGAGCCTGCAGGAGGTCGCCCGAGGGAGGAGGGGTCGCCCGAGGGAGGAGGGTGCAGGAGGGTGCGCGCGATATGTGGCTGGTTAGTTAGGCCCTGTCCAGTGGCGGCAGTGGCGAGTGCGGAGCAAGTCGACGCGCAGAAGTGCGAGAGCGGGCAGCGGGCGTCCGCAGCAGGGGGATGGCCAAGAAGGACCTCATCGGCGAGTGCTGCCCCGGCGGCCTCGCGCGCTCAGGTGAGGGAGGACGGGTTCGGACCGGAGGGGAGGAGGGAGCAGGTCCAAGTCGGTCCCAGTGACCGTGCTCAACCTTCACAACGGAGGGTGGGGGCGGCGGGGCGGAGAGAGGACGATGTACTCTGTGCGAGTGGGTACTGTACAGGGTTTAAGTCTCGGTGGGGCATCAAACGTCTCGTAAAATAATTACTATCTCAGGATTTAAACTGACTAGAGGGACATTCTTAGCTTTACGCTTGAGGAGAATTTATTCCCATGCTAGCATAGCACTGTAATGGAACTTGTAGGGTTGTTTGCAGCTGGTCGCCGGAAAAGATTGTCTTTGTCTTGGGCTATACGGACATGAGCCCGCCTGGAGTTGAGCCTGAACCACTGTGGGCCTGACCAATACCCGATATGAGCCTAGTTCCGAGTCTGACTCGTTAGATTTGGTCCTGGCTACATCTAGCTTGGCTTCTATCGGACACTGCTTGGGCCTACAGTGGTTCGGGCTCAACTCCAGGCGGGCTCATGTCCCTACAGCCTTGTCTTGGTGTTGTACGATAAATGATCAGCTGAATGAACTTTTGAACTCCACCGTGGGCCAATTTGCACCGGTGGTAAATATTCAGTCTCATTGGGAAGTAAGGTGCGTGATGATGTAAAGGAGGCAGTGGTTGTTGTAGAGCCAAGGTTTTAACCCACCAACTAATAGATTTGCTGAACACCATGAACAAGTTTGCACTATTGATAACAGATTTATGGGCCTATCCCCGACTCTAAGGTTTCCGCAAAAGTAGCTGTAGGCCACTGAATTAATTTTTGCATGGCATCATAGACCTTGCGCCACGGCCGCCGCCGCCGCCGCCGCTCCCCGGCTTTGATAAGGATAGTAGTAAATCAAAAACCTGCACCGAAATGGAATTCGCCGTGGCGCCACTCGTCTGTTCTCTTGTCTCCCTTACCGAGCCGGGTTGGCACACAATGCTACCGTGATAAAGCCCCTTCGGTGTGTGTATTTGTCAATCGTCGCGGTGGCGTAAGGGGGGAGGGGAGGGCGGTGGG